TACCGATCTTAAGATCGATAAGTAATTAGATGAAGAAATTATTATGGATAATTCACTCTAGAGCAGTGCTCTTCAACAGGGGTTCCGCGGAACCCTAGGGTTCCGTGAGTTTATAGTGTTCCTTAGGGGTTCCGCGTTTTTTTTTCAGTGGGAAATCATTCTTGCTTCAGCATGTTGATGCGTCATTATAAATATTCTTAGACCACCGTCTCTCATTAAAACTCCAAGTAGGCCAGTTCGTTAAACAGGAGGTTTAGTCACAGTGCAGTTAATAGACAAAACAGAAATATTTTCGGTTGTTGCGTCACTTTAGTCATTGTTATGCAACTAACAAGAACGCTATTGTTGCACCCAGGGGCGGATAAAATACCAAAGTATACAAGTCACAACTGTAGTTTGAAATTTTACCGGTACCCAGTATTCTACCTCAGGGTGGTTCAAGATTGCTAGGTTGAAGGCCGCAAAAACTTTTGAGGAGGTTTCGCGGGCCGCAAGTCGGAGAAAACCCAAAAGTGATTGAAATATCGCGAGTTTACTTACTTTAAATTTAATAAACAACGAGTTTACCGTTCTAATCACTATTATTATGTTGCATGGGTGGCGTTATTTCAAAGTAAATATATAAAGCCTTCAGTTATTTTAAAGGTAATTACCGAGAATTACCGTTGTATTTTGCGCATCTCGCGTTTAATGTCGCTTCAAATTATATTCTTTCGTGAAAGATATTACTTGAAATTTATACAGACAATGTGTGATGGGCAAGGAAATACGTTTCCGCCATGTTTTCCTTATGTCACCTTTTCTGCGAGACTCATTTTATTACGAATTGTTATATTGAGTAATTTAAAAACTTGCAGCGTGAGCAACCATAGTGCCATCGTCAAATATCAACTAAGTCCGTCTAAGTTGATATTTCGAGACCTAGCTAAAAACAAACTGGATTGCGCGGCGTTAAATCGACTCTGCGTTTCGTCACTACTGTCACATGGCCAACGCTTGAAAACAGAGGAGTGTTTTTACTAAAATAAAGGCAAAGCGTTAAAAAAGGGTTTGAATCTCGGGATCCCAACCCCAGTTGGAACAGCTAAAAAAACTCAAAAACGTTCCTCCATTAGTTACAAATATACGCTAAAATTGTTCTGTGAGCCGCACGGAATGTATCAGCATTACAGGGTTTGGACCACCCTGGTCTACCTTATCAAAAAACGCCCGACTTCGCTGACCACTATATCGTTGAAATGCGATCGTGGAACCGCCATATAGTGTAAACTGTAAATAGTTCATTGGTCCAATTGTTGAAAAGAAAAGAAATTTTTTAAAACAAAAATGCAGCAACAAAGAAAATACTAGAAAGAAAAAACATCAACAATTTAAGAAAACGACTCATAGGCCCATTTCGTGTCCAAAAAAAGTTTCAGTGTTTATTTTTAATAAAGAAGGTTAATATGATAATTGAAGACAAAAAATAAGCGAACATATTGAAGTTTGAGTCGTCTGGTGAACTCGTAATATTTTATTAAACACTGATAACCTATATAAAATTCTGCTCTAAAGTTTCTGTGGTGCCCATCTTTGCTTGCTGCTCTAAGCACGTGCTTATATTGTTTATTGGTTAATCCGGCACTGGTTGCACCATAGTTACATGATGTTCAAAGTATGTAGATATTGCTCGAGACTAGAGAGAGTATATACTACAAAGTACAAACTGGAGTTGTTGTTCAGCTTTTCGTGTTACGAGTAGCCTATTTCATGTTTTTTTTTAAATTTTGTTAGTTGGGGTTCCATAAAAAACGAAAAATTATATCAGGGGTTCCACAATAAATAAAAGGTTGAAGAGCACTGCTCTAAAGCAGGGGTTCTCAACTTCTTTTCTGTCAAGTACCCCCCGAGTCACAAAAAATCAACGCGAACCCCCGGTAATCAGACACCGCACAAAGTTGTGATATATTGACTAACATTTTGTTGAAACAACAATTTATTGACCAGATGAAACTAAATAAAATTTTCCTGTTGATATTATCGCCCTTGTCCTCCGCCTAACTATTGAATTCTTGAAATCCCTCTCAAGTTTCAATAAGCATATCCCTTTTGTAAATGCTCGCAACACGCTGTTTTTGAAGATTTCAAAGTTTGCCTGCAAAGCCGTGAATTTTGTATTGTTGCGTCACAATCACAACGACGCAAGATCAGGGAAAGTTTACGTTTCAATTCGCATCTAGTTTCAATCGGCGCGCATTTTTCTCTGGTATTAATAAAGCATATTAAGAAACAGCAACACACAAAAACTCGACTGCCATCCAAGTACCCCTGGAAATCTTCTCGTGAACCCCTGGGAGGTTCGCGAGCCCCAGGTTGAGAACCCCTGCTCTAGAGTTACAAAAAAAATTAAACTACTTATCAAACTATACATCATTTTTGAGCACTGCCATTTAGGCAGTGGAAAATGTGCTGTTACCTCACATTACCTATTCACTTTTGTGCATTTGTCACAAAAGTATCTATGATAATTGCGCCATGAGGGTGTTAGTGGAATTGGTCATAATGGTCAGGTTTGAATCCCGTGGGCGATAATCATAAGCGGGAGGGTTGCTGGATTCCTCCCCGCCGTAAGGTAGTTCGCGTAGCCCAGGGGTCGGCAACCTGCGGCCCGCGGAGTGAAATAATCCGGCCCGCGACGCTTCACTGAACCACAGCGACAAAACGGCGGTTTAATCTACAATGGAAGAGTAAGTAGATTATATTTTTTACCTAACAGAATTCATCGTGAGACACGTTTAGGCCGACTCATATTATAACCTAACAGCTACTCGTTTAACGAGCCTACAATTTAATTATAATTAGACAAATTGCAACATAGAAAAACGTTGATGCTGAGTGCAGTGATTCAATAGCGCAGAAAATATCCAATTGGAGCTCCTTGGGATGCAATGTAATGAGGAAATAAAATTCATATTATATTCGAGAGATGCATCACTGCTTGATTTTTATAAAAATACATCTTCTTGGAGAAAATTTGACAGTTGAATTTGAAAGTTGAATATGACGCATTTGTTGAAGAAGTCAAATACTAAAGAATCTGAAGCAGCAGTGGCTTCATCGTCGACATTTACGGAAGAAGGCGACTCTGCAGCTGACGAAACGTTTGAGGGCTTGCCATCCTTAACCACGCTTAGACAAAAGCGTATCAACACAGAGACTGAGTTTGAATCATTGTTGACCAAAAGTCGAAATTTGATAAACGAGAAGGCTCGAAGATCGCAGCTGGCATGCCTAAAAACAGAGTTACATTTTAAACTGGCCGCGTATAATCAAATTATATCGAACACATTACCTCAAATTCGCAACGCAGAGTCGAAAGCTGCTTTCGAAGAATGCGTTCAGAAAGTTATAACTGAAGTTGAAGGTATGAACGATGAAATTGATAGTTACATCGACCGTGAACCTGAAATATCGTGCGTGGCTCCTGACGAAGGGAACTCTCAGATTTCAAGTGAAAGAATGGAAGAGGACAGCGATAATACAATAAATCTCCAGCCAGCGTGCGCCAAGCAGTCCGGTGGTGAAATGGGGGCGGCTACTGACCAACTTCGAGAATCTAGAGCACGAGAACACGACGATTGCCGGGAGACACCAACTCTTTTAAAGAGTCCCTTTATGAGCCACAGGTTCAATAACTTTGACGAACACGACGTGTTACAATCAACTCAAAGGAAAAGTACCCGCTTCGAACCAAGAGACTTTTACCGCGTCAGATAAACGTCGTGAATATACGATTTCTTACACTCCAAGACATTACCAAAATCCTTCACCAGCAAACCAAATGCCGTCGCCAGACCAATCGGTAGACTCCTGGATCGATAATCTCCAACCAAATCAAGCAGGATCCAGAACGGTAAATGATAACATTTCTCTAGCTGAGCAAACGTGTTTATCTTTGAGTTTAAATTCTAAACTGTGGGCTGAGCATCATTTGCCGCCGGTACAAATAAGTCCGTTTGATGGAAGTGCTATAAACTGGCCTAATTTCATTGAATTGTTTTATGAAAATGTTCATTCACGGTTAGACGATGATGGTCAACGCATGGTGAGATTGTCCGCGTATTTGTCGGGTTCGGCGAAGCGTCGTGTTGAGGGATTAGGTACCGCCGGTAGTCATTACATACTGGTTTTAAAGGAATTAAAACGCCGCTACGGACAGCCGGTACTGATCGCACGGGCGGTGCTTGACCGAGTTGTAAATAGAAAGCGTATGTCGCCTCTTTCGGCCGATAGATTGCTAAATTTTCACTCAGACGTGCGTGACTGCGTGGTGAATCTCAAAAAGATGTGTTATTTGGCTGACATCAGTAGCGTCGAAAATGTAAGGAGGGTTTCAAGCAGGATTCCTCAAGAACTGAACTCGAGTTGGAATAAATTTGTTGTAGGTTTTATTCACAAAAACTCTAATCCGACATTAATTGACTTTGAGCAATGGTTGGGGGAAAGAACTGAAGAAATCGCCAATCCTTTTTCTCCAGATGTTACTTGCAATGTGATCAATAGAACTGATTTAACTGACCACGAGATGCCCAGAAGCGCTCGTCGCCGATTTCCGACTCCATTTCCAACGTTATCAAACTTGGAATCCGATAATACGTCATATAGTGACGCATCACGTTGTCAATTCTGCAATGCTCGCCATTCTATGAGAAGTTGTGAGACATTTTTCGGTGCGACCGATTATGTAAAACGTAACTTTGTTGTAGATTACAGACTTTGCTTTAAATGTCTTGAACCGGGCCATCGTGCATTTATGTGTAGATGTGATGTCGAGTGTAGTATATGCAATGGGAAACATCACAAACGTATGACATGGAACATCTGTGTGCCTAAATCTGACAAAAACCATGCGAAAAAACTCACTTCGATGTTTTGAAGTATATATATATATATGTGTGCGAACAATTATTTTCGAAAATGAACATTACAAAGAACAAGCTCAGAACTAGGATTAGTGCTGCTCATTTAGAAAATGTGTCACGTCCATCAGTCCATCGACCGCGAGGAATCGATTCATCAACTAGCAGAACCATATCGTCGACTTTGAAGATATCACGTCCTTTCGTCCATTTTGAACTTTGTGTTATTGTTGGCAGGTACTCTTTTATCCATCGACGCCAGAATTCATCAACTAGCAGTGGCTCCAACTTCTCATGAGTAATCGATTGACCTGTCAACAATGCAGATAGAATTCGTTTAGTTGATTTAATCATTCTTTCAAAAACGCCACCCATATGACTGGTGTATGGAGGATTAAAGTTAAATTCTACGTCACGTTGACGCAGATAGTTTGCAATACTTTGCTCGTTCCATTTGCTAATTGATTCTTTCAATTCGCGACAAGCACCTACAAAATTGCTTCCATTGTCGCAATATATGTGAACAGGACGACCTCTTGAGTCAAGTAAAGCGTCTCAATGCGTCAATGAAGTCGTCTGGCTCTTTGGGTTTATCACAGGATGATGTGGCAATAACCATTTTGTTGGATAGATGTTCGGCGACCTAGGACTGTCAGCTATACGAGCGTATCCTTTATCAACATAATCATTCAATGTCTGAATATATTTTTGGTGCAATGTGTCATCTTTTAAAAGACGTCGCTTTAACTGACGAAGGCGATTCTCCGCCACTTTCTGATTACATGGTAACTCGCGATGATTGATTTTCCACAATAAAGGTAGTTCGTAATGTCCATCAACAAATTTGAGTTTGTCTTCCATGCAACTACGCGCTATTCTATCTTCGCGGGAAGTTTTAGTGTCACAAATACTGGGGACGTCAGCAAAATCCATACGCCAAAGTCGCTCAATCTGCGACGCCAAAGGATTTGTATCAACGAAATTAATGGAAGTGTTTTCATAGACGGTCAGAGACGGACCCATAAGAGACCAACCCAGAGGGGTTTTCACCGCAATCGGCTGTTGACTCCGACCCTTTCTAAATTCCTCCCACACAAACACTTCGGGAACATCCGCTCCTATCAGCAGAGTCACTTCACCGTCGTGTATTCGAGGAAAGTCTATATCAGACAAATAGGATAGCTTACGCAAGGAACTGCGCGAGGGTAGCTTATTGGGCTTTATGGGCAAGTTACTGACGCACAATACATTGGGCAATTCAATGCAATCGTCATGTCCGTCAATTTCTTCAACGAGTAGAGGGGACAACTTCTTTGCTTTAACACATTTGGGACGATTGCCAACAGTTTGCAGTGTAACATCTATAGGCACCCCGGTTAGATTTAATTTGTTCATCAATTTCACACTACACATGGTGGTTGTAGAAGTCCACAGTCCAAAAGAGCGTAGGTATCAAAAGCCCTGTTGCCAGCAGTTACTGTCACCGGGACGATATTCATGTAAACACCGGTGTTGCTTTGCGGGCGCCAATTTATTAGCGTGAACCTCGTGATCCGCATGGTTCATCGAGGTACCGACGGAACAAGTCTGTTTACTAATACCATCTCGCCGTGTAGGTGTCTCGAAATCGCGATGCAACAAAACATGATGGAACGGATACTTACAATCGTGAATGGGGCAACTTTCATTCTGGGTGCACTGTCTAAACATATGCCCTCGTCTTAAGCATTTGAAGCACAACTGATTCCGTCTAGCCACGTTATATCGTTCGTACCATGAAAGGACTTTAAATTTCTTACAGTTGAATAATTCGTGAGAGAAATTACAACACGGGCAGTGCCAATTTGAACCACTAGCAGAAATAGCAAAAGCACTACCTTTCGCCTTAGAATTTTCATAATAATTTGATTGCCTTCTATCTCTTCGGGCAAAACGAAAGTCTGATCTTGAAACATTAGCTTGCTCGGTGACAAATTTAGAGAGGTCGTTGTAACTAGCTTCACGATCCTCCGTTTCTAAAATTGTTGCCACTTTGAAATCCCAAGCGTTTTGCGACTCTGGTGGCAATCGTTCAACAATGGCCAGCAAATTGTCAAAATTATTAAGATTGTCGTACTCACTGATTTCTCCAAGAACTAAGCCACATTTCCGCATCAGTCGCGCATACGCTTGCATACCTTTTGCGTCGTCAAAGTTTAACTTCGGACCACGCTTCAACCTGTCCAAACAGGTGCGGGAAATGACATGATCTTTACCATATTCATTCTTCAGCTCTCTCATAGCTTCGCGATATCCGCGACTTGGTTCCATCATTGAGCAATGATCAATGGCATTTTTCGCTTCGCCCTGGCACAGCTGTAACAAATAACTCAGACGTACGTTATCATCATCTACAAGATCTGTAACATGGGCCTTAAAGTTGCGGATAAAGGAATAATATTCCATTGGATCACCTGAAAATTTTGCAATTTCTGGTTTGGGTAGATCGACAGTTCTGCGATGTAAAGCATGGTTCAAACGTGGAGGCACAGGATTAGCTGAGCTACTATCAGCTGTGTGTGTAGGCAAAGTCAGCAAACGCCGTGGAGTATTTTCACGACCGTTATTAATGAGCTGTGATTTAGGTGAGAAATCACAGGATTTCACGCTATTGTCGTGCCTAATTCTATCTACTGTTACCCACCGCAAAAATTTGTCATCGCTCATTTCCCAAACCTTTGATTCTGTTTCAGCAGCCTGTAAAGCGTGTCTTGTCCGAAGCTTACGCAAGTCGTCTTCTAAAGCTGAGAGTTCTTCTTCTTGACGGGCCTTTAGGCGTGCCAGCTCCAACTTCACTCTTGCATTCCGGACGGAGAAAGTCGATGACGCTGAAGAACTCACGTCGCTAACGTCACTGGAACTCCTGCAAACATCTGGATGAGTTTTAAATTCATTAAAACTGCCAGGAGCATTGCTAATCATTGCCTGATGTTGGTCATCCGACCTACCACCGGTTGCCATTATTGAGAACCCGAATTAATGTTTGAAACCCTTTGGTTGAAAACTTGAGAATTTTGGTATTAACGTTAATATCATTGAAAACTTCACAAATTATGTTTGGAGACTTGAAATCGTTTGAATTTTGAAGCACGTTTGAAAACTTTTATGTCACGTCTTTTGATAGCCCGGAATCTATATCGACGAGACACAATGAAAACGTATCGAACGCGCCACTCTCAGCCCCTTTGTCCACAAACAAGACACGTGCATAAATCACTTCTTTATATTCTTGGCAAAGAACAGCGGTTTTCTTAAATAAATAAAACAAAATTGATTAACATAAGTCAAAGCATATAACAACAACAAAAGGCAAATTTCTCAAACGTTTCCCGATCCGGGAGGCTAATACAATTACAATATAAAACAGATAAATAAACAGTCAGTCCACAATACAGACAAATATCTACGACTCTTTACACGACGAATACGTGATGCAAATGACCGAAAGGAAAACGCTAAACCAGACAACAGATAATAATACTAATTTACGCTACAAACAAAGGGTAATAATGGGTCTACAATGATTGGATGCAAGGCAGAGCACGATGCACTGCATACAGTGGCAAAATATACGACAAACGTACGTTTACAACGTAACAAATGTTCCAATCTTGGCTTCATTCCGTGTGCCGCCGATGTCGAGAAGCTATCAAGCGTGATGCAGCAACAAGACAGTGTTACATTAAATGTCATTTGTAATTTTTTTCTTTTATTAAGACAACTGAGCTGAGTTCACGAATTGTCGCAGTCTTCGTGCGCTGTTCCGTTTTTAACTTCGAAAAAGTATGTGCGGCCCGCCAAGTCTTGCAAACCTTAATTTTGGCCCGCAAGCCGACCCTTAGGTCGTAGCTGATGGTCGGTTACGGCTTCCCCGCTATCAAGGCCATGAATCTGAAACAAATAAATGACTGAATGATTTTATGGACTTGTAATCGGACTGGAGGCCGTGGTACATCAGGTACATGGTGAGGAATCGTAGATGAATTTTACCAAAGATCGTTATGATGTATTTTGGTGCAGGCCATCAGGCATTTTTGAGGAGGTATAAACCTGGAAACAACGAAATCGCCTTTCCATCAGTAAACGGGGTGATTTGAGATTGTGCTTGACGGAAATGTCACCAAATATTAATAAAAAAAATCGCTTGAGACCACTAAGCTCATCCATCTAATTAAAAACACTATGAACTCTGATTTGCCTTCTTGTTTATTTAGTTTGTAATATACTCGTTTCTGACTTTACTTTTATTTGTACTACCGTGGGGCAATGAAGTTGTATAAATTACTGCAGGGGGGCGATGATACAAAAAAGTTTGGGAACCACTGGACTAGACTACTTTTGAATGAATTTAATTCAAAAAGCTAAATTAAACATAAATGTCTTCTGCTTCCAAATAAGAAAAATCGCAGACGATTGATATGAAAAATGTTTTCAAGATAAGTGGCATGAGTTATATTTTGTCACTGCGGTCAGTTATACTCGTCAGTGCCTTATTTGTCGGCAAAAGATAGCTGTTATGAATGAATATAACATGCGGCGACACCACGAATCAATGCACCACGATAGGGATGTAAGTTTCGAATATTTTTTTTTCGAATCGAATCACAATGTTTCGATTCGAATATTTCCGAATCTGTTTCTATTTAGTATATCATCATATTATCGTTACTTTCTTCAAGTTCGAAAAAGTTAAAACAACCGAAATCATCATTTTGCAAACGAAGTTTCTTTACCAATGTTAATTAACCAGTCCAACGAAAACTCTGTAAGATCGTGTTTTGTTATAAGTGAATCGATAGCGCGAACGATAAGTAGTCACGGCCCGCGAGGGTTTGGTCATAAAAGAATGCTCTGTAAAAGCAAGTGACATATTATGCCAAATAAAAAAGAACTGCTTGGATGCATAAGCATATCCACAAATGCAAATCCACAAATTTGTCTGCAAGTGTGTATAAACAATTGGTTAAGACGGCGAAGGACTTCGAAGCATTTTCAATTGCAATTTATAAGAGCGCAAACGTGTCAGACAGCGCACAATGTGCTGCGTTTATCAGGGGTGTAGATTGCAGACTGCAGTCTAAATTTGACAGAAGAGTTTCTGGAATTAATACCATTGGAGGGTACTACAACTGGACGTGATATATTACAAGCCTTGGAATGCGTCGAGCTACATGGCTTGCAATGGGATACGCTTGTAAGTTTGACCACAGACGGCGTACCGGCAATGCGATCTACCAGTGTAGGTGTAGTTGAATTTGTTAAAAACAAACCGAACCGTTTTGAAACAGAAAGAATTAGCCTTGCTAGTGTGAACTGCATTTCACACCAAGAAGCCCTTTGTAGTAAAAGTCTATAAATGAAGGAAGTGATGGATATAGTAGTTAAAACAGTCAAGTTGATATTATCTCGGGGGACATGCAGTTTAAATTATTTCTTGCAGATATGGACTCTGAGTACGGTGAGCTACTTTATCATACTGAAGTAAGATGGCTGAGTAGTGGAAATGTTTTGAAGCGTTTCTTTGCGCTTAGAAATGAAATCGCCATATTCATGAAAATGAATAACAAGACATTTCCTTTGTTGGCTAACTCTACTTTCCAATGCAATCTTGCTTTCTTAACAGATTTTACACATCATCTGAATGAACTGAACTTGAAGCTTCAATATAAAAAAATAAATTATCACACATATGTATGACCATGTGAGAACGTTTAGGGATAAAGAAGTTGGTTGAGGGGAATTTGGCTCATTTCTCTACTCTGAAGTCTTAGGAAAAGTTGAAGTTGAATGTCTGAAAGAATATAGCCTACAGATTTGTTGCCTGAATTACCCCAGCGTATAGATGTGCGCTTTGCAGACGTTTAGGAATACTAAAGCCGCAATTTCGACGCCATTTGCTGTAGAAATTGACAATGTAGATGAGGAGTTGCAGATGGAGTTAGTGGAACTTCAGTGTGATACTGTCCTGAAGCAAAAGTATGTAGAGGATGGAATTTCAGAATTCTACACCTTTCTGCCACTAGAAAGGTTTCTGAAGTTACTCTCTACTGCTGCAGGAATTATTGCAATGTTTGGAAGTAGGCTATACGAGCAATTTTTTCATCCATGAAGGTTAAAAAGAATGTGTTAAGGCCTTTGTCAATGAAAAAGCTGTCAGCTAAGTAGCCAGAACAAAATATGACTGTAGCCTGAATTGTTAGACTACTTGTGTTTATATTTTATTGTGTTCTTATAACGTTTCCTTGTTGATTGACGTTTCTTTGCGAATCGCGGCCCTCGGGTATTTTACACGTCCTTACTTTGCCCTGTGAGCAATTTGAGTTTGAGACCCTTGCTCTAGATCTAGAATGATAGAGTGTCTAATTGAGCGGTTGTATCTCACAAACAGAAAAATCTTAAAGTCACCCTCGCTCACTTAAAAAACGTCACAATCCATGGAAATGATCAACTGCAAGCAGCCCATGGCTCATGAGTGCTGCGGGGCGGCAAGTTTGACATGAATAAAAACAAGTCTGTATTTTCAGTGATTGAACTGCAACTGCTTTAGCATTTGGTTTCTCATGGCAACATTCCGCCAATTTCTGATCATTTGCAACCACTCCATGATCCTGAACCACATGAGAATGAAAATAACCTGAAACGTAGCTTGGAATTATTCGCATATTATGCAAAATAAATATGTAAATGTTCCGAGAAATTGAAACCACTTTCGACACAAACATTGTTTTCTATCAGAGGCAAAAAATTATCTTTTTTCAACTTGTTGAAAGCTGATTTGTTGAAAGCGTGTTCGGGGCGCATATACGAAGATGAACCTTGATTATTAAGTTTGATGCGTCCTAATTTGCCATTGCAGCCATTTTCAGTCAACGATGAAGGCCGTTAGTCTTTAACTCTTGAATACTCCAAATAATAAATCCGAATTGAGGCATACTGCCATGGAAAAAGAAGCTACAGCGATTGTTGAGGCTGTAAGAAAATGGGAATATCTTTTGCATAGGAAAAAGTTCAAACTGGTTACAGATCAAAAAGTTTTGACGTACATTTTTCGAAAAAATCATAGAAGTAAAATACAAAAGTTACATAATTTACTCGTGGCATTGGACGAGTGTAGATTTCCTTTTCTAAACTTATGGGCGGGTGTAACTTCGACCACTGTCGTTAAATGTCTCGCATCGTTATTTCCGCTGGTCGGTTTAAGTTAACTTTTCTGTACCTCCGTCTCTGAATAGACCCCAGACATGTACTCCGTGCACAAAAATAGCGGAGGCGCAGAATGGTATTACAGCTATATAATCGCCGAGTTCATTCATCTTTCACTTTAAATACTCAAAATGCATTTTTGTTTTTGGGATGCGGGAATAAGACACCCACCTAATTAAGATTTACGCTGGATACTAGCGATGTTCATTCCATCCAGATTCAAAATATAAAATCAAAACCCAGATCGTATTCCGCAAACTGCCTTGTCGTCTCTTCGTTTTTAGAACAAATACCATGAATTCTATCGACATTTATGCTTTTGTACTGTGGAGTTCAGCACACAAAACGTATGAAGGTATTGAAGGCTCCGATCTTGACTTTTTCGTTTACATCTATATAAACCGTAGTCTGGTTTTCAACAGTAATCATAAATTGATGATCTATTTCTAGATAATGGATAAAAGGAAAGAATGAAATAAGATGACAAATCAATTTATTGCCACAATTCAATACTTTCAAGCATGTTGAATAGTCCTGTATGGTTTTCAAATCCCCAACGTGTCGAATATGCAAAAGAACGAGCCGATCAAAATGGTGATCCGATTAACAAAAGAAAAAACATAATACTGCAGAATAACCCTTAAAAACATATAAACGTGATGGCTACTGTTTATTGCAATTGACATTTATATGCATCTGGATGTTTTCAAGAGAAACCGACATTATGACGTCATGTATACATTGAATTATGCTAGGAAACGTTTTCGAACGAATGTAAACATTAACATAATTTGTTGCATAACGATTACTAATTTTGTAATGGTATGACTTGGTCTGCTTGTATGTATATATAATCATATCGATTTTTCATAATAACATCGAGGAGAAAATTCATATTCTCACATACAAGAAAAACAGAGGCTCAATATAAACAAAATCTACAAAATGTAGATTTTGTTTATACTGAGTGACTTTCCCATCTTACAGCAAATTGGTATGAATATTAACCTGATGCCCTTGTTTATTCGATTTGCCACTATTTGATTCGATAGCAAAATAATTTTATTGCACAATCCATAAATTTGTCGTAACTAAACCACATCGCACGAAATAATCTAATTTAAAATAATGCAAAAGCATTGATTTTTAATATGAATTGCGAAGCAACATTTTCCATCAAATTTCCAAACACTGACGATACTCACTCCTATAATAACATCAGTTGTCCTTTTGTCAAATGACATTGCGCACTCTTTATAAAATAACGAGTTCATGTTTTCTATTATTAAAGCGTTTGTTATATGCATATGACCTTTTCGATCTGGAATAGTATATTTGGTCAACCAGTTGTTGGTTTTGACAGGAGGAAGCATAATTAAGTTGCGTTTTATGTTTTGGTAAAATATTCTACTCACTAATTAAAGACCTCACAAGCCCTCGAAATAATTTAGAGAAGCAGAGAAATCCTTATCCAATACCCCCGAAAGCTCGAACCGCCGAAATCATTTATATTGATCGAATACAATAATGAGTGATATGATTCCGTAAACAAATCAATATTATCGACCTAAATGTCATTATTTCGCCAAGCAGACGTTTTCCTGTTAAAGAACCATAAAATGTAACTCATTGTATTTATGACTCGCTGGGATAAAGACGGAATTTCATGAAACACCGTTAGACGTGCATCTGTAGGTATGATAACGGCATTTGCTAAATTACATTTAGTGTTCAACTTTGCTTCAATCCGCAGACTTTCCTTCTAATGTGTTGTAAAAATTCAAATAGTATAGACTTTGATAGTATGGAAGGAAAATAGTAGAGTGCACAAAAGTCAGCAAAATGTCTTTTATCGGGCACATTAGATTAAAATGTGAGCATATGGTAGATATTGATATGCAGGGAGAGTCTGGGCTCCAGAATATGTTTGAATATTCATCAACTGCACAAAAACTGAAACATGCATTAACGTTTAGTGGAGTTGGGTATAGTTCATGAAGTTCTAATTCTTTTACTCTATATATTTTTATTGCCAAGTCTGTTTTACACATTTTGTTTATAAATATAAAAGGATAAATACTGCGTTGTTTCATAAAAAGAGCAGGGAAGAGCAATCATTCTGATCTTAAAAATATTATTGATCGTTTAAGCTCGGATGATAAAAAAAGCTTTCAAGATGCAGTTGTCATATTTCGACTTCTCGAGGGAATTCTACTAGTTGAAAGCAATTGAGTAAATTTTTTAATAATTTCCCTTTATTATTTAATTTACAGCAAAGTGGTGGTGAAACCATCCCTGAGTAAAAATAAAAAGAATTACATTTGAGTAAATCCTTCTCTGTCATTTTTTTACCGTAAATATATCTAACTAGTACTTTGAACGTGAGAAATTGTATAACAATATAATGTGACTGTGACTATTCCTCATGAATAATTGACTTTCAAAATGTCGAATATTCTCATTAGTGTTTTAAAATTTCAACTGCAATCGTAATTTCACGCACTTGCTTACAAGATTTTGTTGTATTTTTTCGATTTAAAATAACAACACCAGCTCTTGCCCCCATTTCTGGTCAGATAAGTTCAAGCAGGTTAAACTATCTAAATCAAAACTTATACAAATAACTTTATATTGACTATATATATGAATGTTTCGTGCTATATGTGGTCAAGTTTATGGTTTTACATTACGAATGATATTCTACAAGACACACGCGCCAGTAACATATTTTTATTTTGTAAACTGGATCCCATAGGATTTACGGCTGATTATTATTTAATTCATGTCATTACTATAAATCCCCAAGCAGACTTTCTTTGTTAATTAATACATACACTGGTTTCATTGCATTTTAAGTACAACATATATATGTTTTTTTTGGCATCCTCGAAATGTTCTTTTTTGCATTGTCCCTTTGGTGGCTACGAAGAAGGACCCCTTTACTATTATAGGAGAAAATGAAATTTTGAAGGAAGTTCGGCCCTTTTCAGTTCTAGAGAAAACATTCACATTATTTATAAATATTATTCATATATATATTAGTTAGTGACGTAATTTACAATTAACAAAAATTTAAACCTTTCGCGTATGACCTCCTGATTATGATCCACGGTTGAGAAACACTGGACATGAATAATTATTTTTTACAAAGTTGTCAGTAGAGCAACTCGTGGGCAATACTGATTTGAGTGTCGAAATTAAGTATTTCATTGATTCGGTATAAGCATAGTTAAATTGACGATGTACGTTTGTATCAACACTCATCTTTTGTTGAAATGTAAGGCTTAAACATTTCTCAATATTAATTTGACGAAGGTATTTGGTCTCCCGCATGTTACATCATAATATTCCAGATGTTTGATCGGCTAACAGCAATTCTCTCGATCCCCTTTTAACGTGCTTCTTAATTAGCGGATGCCATATTTTCAAATAGAAATGTGCTCTTCAATCGTAAATTAGTAATAACCATAAGCGTTGTTACAATATTAGTGCGCACACACGTAAATAACTCACGCAGCAGAACATCAATACATACGGGTCAATCGGATATCTCTCATGAATAAATGAACAGGTAATTATGGAAAACACGGTACGGGACAGAAGGTTTACATAAATGAAGGATTTGTGCCATCGACCATTTGGATTTCACAAAGACGAATGCTAAAAATATCGAGTGACCTATCATGAATTATTATAGTTCATTTCAGGAAACCAAGTATGAAAGGAACAAGGCGTTATCCATATGTGGTTAATTTCTGCCAGATATAAAAACAATATTGAAAAACGAAACAGTTTTATAAGTAATATAACATGAGTTCGTAAATATGATTTGACGTGATTTTCATTTTAATATGCTAGTTTAAATAACTATTGACATCTTCATCAATTTGTATTCCATTTCTCATGTCTCATCAACTGATGACGGGTTCAGACTCTATCCCAGAAATCCAGTAAACGTCAAAGTGAATTGAGCATTGAACAGTGAACACTCATAAATTATTTAGCTCCACATCCGCAAATGTGATATAGACAGACGCGTACAAGTGAATAAGTCTTTTATTCGCCAGGTATTCTCCATGGTTACATGTAACCAGGATAGATTAAATTGCACCATAGACGTGCCGCTGAAATAGAGTTTTTTTTTATTCCTAGTTTAAAGATAGATTTTTTGCTGGTTTAATTTTCAGATTTATTGTATTTTACGACGAATTAACTTTACTTGCACAATTTAAAAATGCACAGTAAAAGTGGCAGGAATCTATGCTTGTTTGCCATCGTTACGATATGCTTTCTGGGTAAGTTTTTTGTATTTTGCTCATATTTTATTTTCGTAGTTTGAGATTTGTCCGTGAATGAATAATGAATGAAAATAATCACAAATGAAATTAATCGCAATTAAAAAAACTTTATTAAAAAATGCGTTTCTACCATGAGGTAGTTTTTAAAATTAAAAAAATATTGTACCTAACCTCAATGTGCAAGTAGGTACATAATATATATAATCTCTTCAAAACCATTATTGCCATTCTTAGCAATTTCGCACGGAAGTCCAGTTCCCGACTTGGAATCAGATAAAGATGCAAACGTTACTGACACGACAACAGCATCTCCCCTTACTACGATTACGCAAAGTGTGATATCACAGGGAACCAAAGGAAAAGCTGACAAGGTTTGCATCACTTTCATCCAAATTTGTTATTTACCGATGGTTTAACAATCAAAATCTTGAAGATTCATGGAAAAGTAGTATTGTGCATTTGCAAATGAAACGCTAATTATATATAGTCGCCAAACAGAATTTGAACCTAAAAATCTAGTTTTATTTGGAAGTGATTATTTCAGTGTAGTTCATTATTGAAATGGTTCATCCCGCCAAATTAAAAAAATCGCAACTTTCGGCGTCAATAATTTATCAATGCCTTGCAAATACAATTCCGAAGAAACGTTCAAGGCAGTTGACGTAATTGACAAACAAAAAAATTCTGTTCTTCATTGTTACGGAAACGTTGATTTCAACACTGAAAGAACAATGTGAAAACGTTTCACTGATCCTTGAAAAACAAATCTAGTATTGTTCCTAAAAACTTGTTATGTATATTCACCCACGTATCGACCAATGTTATTTTGTACCAACACCCAACGTTCTATTAAAATATATGAGAAGATTTAAAAAGTCGTTTTGTCCAGGCACGTGAATGCGCACTGCAAGCCATACGGATAATTGTTTCTGATCTTGATGGCCCCGTCGATGAAGAGTGTCGTCAGATATTGAAAACCATGACAATCAATGCAGGTAACAATAGAATACAAGATATTAATATTAAATATCAAACGATTCATATTATATTAAGTATGTTAGATGAATCTCTTGGGCGTTCCATTTGGACACCAGACTATAGCCACCCGTCTATGGTAGCTGGTATCTCTATTGGTCTTAGTAATTAAGATTACTTCGATATTGAAGTAAATCATTAAATTCTGAGCTAATAATGTAATAATTTGCAATCGAAGTGATGTCCATTTTTGATATTATTTTCTGCTCCTGATCAACCTTAGAATCATTTCATCCAGGGAAACATAAAGAAGAAAACAACCCAGTGGACGACGTAGATCTCCGCAAAGAACTCAAAGAAATTGCTCAAAGAGAAGTACAATATCAAAACATGAATGATGAAATTGATCAGGCTGAAAATCTGAATGCCGAAAACGATCTGATTCAGATGAAAAATTGGAGGAGTTTACATCACGAAATGATGACGCAGGTGAGACAATTCAAATTAAACTTTGTTTATAGGTGTCGTCCACTCGTGCATGATCAATTTACTGGCCTTGTGACATAATCAATTAATCATCATTTATTCGCCTCAAAGGGTTGTTTCTTGTCTATATGCGTATACATGACCAAAGCGTATATATAATATAAGCGAGGCAACGCTCAGACAATGGACGCCATCTTGTGCCTATTGTTCTCGGCAATTTAACACGGCGCCTTATGAGAGGTTCCAACACAATTATTGAAACAAACCTATTATTTTCCCTAATATTTTAAGTAGAAAAATTTTGAAGGTTGCGTTTAGAAGTAGAATCTTAGCCGTACATGCTTATATCCTTTCATGTTGGCCAAATTACATTTATAGTACATTAAATTGTCTTTGAAGACAAGTATACCGGTTCCGAGTTGCTTCCGAAGTAAATTGGCCATTTAATCGTCATATTTAACCATTTGACAATGGCGTTCCTAATGACGTCATAGATAAAAGATTGTATTTATTCGTCGAAATTACCGGCCGACCCAACTTTGCTTCAATGGCCGTTTCTATTTTCTGGTTAACATTTTTCGTCTGTCAAGCTCCATAATGCCCTACTGCTCAGCTCCAAGCTACGCTAGAAGACCAAATGACATTGTAGGATTGTTGCGGAGACATTTACAGCCTCAAATTAGCGTATCACTATAAAATCTTTAAAAAAAAAGACCAAAAATGGTTCTACGCTGTGTTTGTGGTCAAATTCAACGCATTAGATAGCTTTTATTCCTAATTGCGTTATATTTTTAGATAGCATATATCTTAAAGTTCAAAATCCACCCTTCAGTTTCATTCTAGCCCTTATAACAGCGGATTTATTTGATTCGGTACAACAACACGACGAAAATTTCTCATAAAACTTCATTGTTTCGCGTTTCCCAAATATGGCACAAGATGGCGTCCATGAACCTGTTTAACATTAGGCAAGTTGGTTGCCAGCCGTTGTACCTGACCTCCTAATATATTGCGATTTTGAATGCGCTCATGGCATAATAATATGGAATCATTAAGAGCACTCCCGGCAGGGTAGTGGTGATTGTCAATAACTTTGCTTTTGATGGAGTGCGCGTGCTTTGATTTGAGTGAATTTTCTTTACAGATAATCACCTGGTGAATTTTTTAAAAATTTACTTTCATGATTGCAACATTAAGATTGACGGAGTGTGAACATATACGTTTATTGCTGTAACGAACGCGCTTTTTAATGATGTTGCCGAGCGTTTCTAACAGTACAGTTATATGCAATTCTGAAATCATGTGGTTTGATGCATTACATCGGAAATTGATTCCACTTCATGAAAGATTCATTACGCGTGACCGATGAGACGAGTAAAATTGCGAAAGCAAGCATCGATTTTGGAATTTTTAGTCAATTTACATTTAAACATGTCGTAAAGCTAAGAAAATCATTTACTTATTTTACCAGCCAAATGTTGATAAATTCGCAGTTTCAATAGGGCAACATTACTCGTGCGTATATGATATACTTAATTTACCTGAGATAACTTCATAAAATTATTAAAATAAAGGAGAATTTCGAAAGATGCAAAATATATAAAACGATTATGGCCAGCGTGTCGTTTGTCCTAATCATGCCAGGAAAATTTTGTGTTAAGGTAATGTGTTTGCCATGCGAGATGAAAAACAGAGTTTAATTTCTTCGTTATTTATTTTCTCAAAGTGCAAGAACTCAACAAATTATGTTTAGCAAGATCGCATTTCACCTCGAAGTTTGAATTAGAAGTATCTAAAATATTTCATGCATCACATACTGTAAAAAAATACGAAATGTTTTTGCAAATTTGAAAAATTAATTTTTAACACGGATAAAAAGGTTCTCTATGTAAATTTCTTCCGATCTATCAAAAGCGCGCATGGCCGTCACGGGATTGTTCTTAAATTGAAACATGCTATAACCAGTTCTTCATTTCAGCTCTACTTGCCATGGAATCAGAAAAAAAAGCTACTTCGCGTACTAAAGACAAACAAGATGCCGTAAGTTATAATTTAAACAGTGACTTCAAACCACATTATTTTAAAAACGAAAACGAGAAAAGCTCCGACAGGTTCACGAATAAAGATTCAGACGTCGAAGTCTTTCAAGAAGGAAAGTTCATCGTGGATGATGATGGTATTGGTCTCCTTGAGGAGCCGAATCCATCTAATCGAAACGACATTGATGACGATTTTTTGGTCATACCACTCCGATTCCTTCGCAACAACATGCGCAATGAACGTGTTCGTGAACACGAATCCCGTAACAAAATCGCAGAAGAAAGCAGAGAAGGAAGGATGAAGTATGGCAGAAAAAACGACATGGCAGCAAGATGGCTTCTTCAATCAATATTAAATATGGTGATCGGCGAACTCGACGACGAACAGATGACAAACGCGAAAGAAGATAAAATCGACGTGATTGGATCGGAAGACGAAAAAAGCAAAGCGCAATCTCAAATAGAAAAGGCTAAGCAAGGTATCTTATCTGACTAATGCATTTCCGTCGTAATTCCATCACGCAATTGAATGAAAACAGTCTGTAGTGCAATGAAAGTGAAACTACGGTTGCGGGTATCACACAAAATTATATCGATAAATAAAGTGTTTGTATGTTTTATTAAGTAAGGAATGAATTATTTAATTGCCTATATTGTATTATTTCCCCCAAAAATATTTGCTGTTACTCTAGTCTATGTCATGACGAAACTTGCCCTATAATCCATGCGGTCAATTATCTGACTCCGAAAGTTGACACTCACATTTATGAATATGACGTCACTGACTGTTACCGATTGGGCATTGTTGATAACTTTTAACCAGTGAACAGTACTGAGACGTTTGAAAACGATTGTATACATATATAATACAATTTATTTAACAAAATATTTCTTTTACAATTAAGATGACTCTGCCCTCGATATCGAAGATGATATAAATGGCGAAGGTGGATCTGATTCAGACAGTCAGTCAGCCGTCGAACACGCGAAGGAGGTTTGCTAATTTTCTACGCTCTCTTTTAGTCCTGCCATTTCCTTTTCCTTGATTAAATTAAAAATCTTTTTCAAGATGAACACCGGTGTACTAGCTCAAGTTGAAAGTGACATCGCTAAGCTTGGGAAAGATCTTCGTCGACTTCAATTTAACTGACAATGATGCTTTTTATTCCATGTAAATAAATTCACTATTCAACACATTAGGTATGAATAAATAAGAAGAGCAAACCTTTACATTGGTGATTTATTCAATTTCAACAGTTCACTGTTTAACTTGTTAGATCTCAAATCAATAATTCAATGAGATATTATTTTACTGGCGTGAAAAATTTCCCTGATTACTTGATAGTTTTCAATTACTTGTTCTTTATTTCTGTGTTCTTCATATATATACCGAAGGCAGACAAATTCACTTTCATTTCTATGTTTTCATATTATTTATGTATTAAAATCTGTACGCAAATTTTGTTACTGCACCCTTTCTTGTAGATGTGAGTTTAATTCATATAAAAATAACAAAAAAATATTTTTTATTTTTTAATGAGCTAGAATATTTAACAAATGATCAAATTATTACGGGTGTTAATTACCAGATGTTATTTGCTGTATTGAATTGAGTATATATATTGCTCTATTAACACTGATGATCATAACCGGTAATTTAGAACTAGAAGAGACAATTGTTTACGCGCATAGAATTTCTCTTACCTATTTATAAATAAATCTAAAGGAGAAATTCCCAATTTGGATTAACCAAATTATTGTTGTCAATATTGCCCACTGCGTGGTTGTTATAAATAATGACTCAATTTCTCTCGCGTGTCTATAAATGAATCAAACGGAGAAATTCCCAATTTGGATTGACAAAAGTAATGCTCACTGCGGAGTTATTATAAATAATAAACCTAATCCCTCTCACGTATTTATAAACGAAACAAAAGGAGAAATTCCCAATTTGGATAAAACAAATTATTGATGTCAATAATGCTCACAGTGCAGTTACTTTTGAATCATGAACTTAATTTCAATGGAAGTTTTATGACACGAACATGTTCAATAACATCGCTTCGTCCACGTGAAATTAGTAATGCGACTTTCAGCTGACGAATGGAAAAACTTCAAATAAATTTGTAAGGACAGTCATCTTATTCAATTAGCTGATCCACACAAGGTTATGATGTTGAGTTCACATTAAGTTGGGACGGTTTCTTTGTCGTCCGAATCAACATTTGCGATGTTCAAGTAAATAGATGTGGAATGAAAAAAAAATGTCTGGTTAATTCAAAAACCATACGCAATATTTACGTGAAACGATGTCCCGTAACGATGCGCAATTTTGACGCCGACATTCTGTCCCTTTACTCATGTTCTACGTTTTGTTATCCTACTCGTCTACAATATACCATGATAAAGAAATTTACTTCTCTGTTTCATTAACATGTATTGGTGAGCACACCTGGTTCGTCGTAATAATTCCGTTCACCTTAAAGTTTCCATCATGCAATTCTGATTTATACCCGCGTATTCTGAAAATTTGTTCTGCTGTTGTAGATTCGAATTTTGCCAATTGCCAATCCTCCGCCTTGTGGTATTTACACATGAAATCCCTAGCCCACGCCTCCCACGTTTAAGTCGATCACCCTGGTGCTGACATTGCCTAGCAACAACTCTCAAAGCACGTCGAACCAACTGATGACATTTGACATCAGAATTTAGCAAATTTTATTGGATATATTATACTACCATTTCCTACATGAGATTCGAAATCACGAAACTTCATTCTTTCGCTCAAAAATGTCAATTTTCAAAATACCAATTAAACAGGCAAGTTGAACTATTCAAAACTCGTGCTAGGAGAGATTCAACATTCACCGCATTGATGAATTTAGTCTTTTGTTGTCACAAGCTTTTCTATATAATCACACAACTTCGACACTGCTGGAAACAGAACACCCTCTTCGTAAAATGCAACTGCAAGCCGTAGACAGTTATCATGGTTACCTGACACTGAGCATCTGTTTAAAGAGAGTTGTAACATTTTTGTTTCACAGAAACTGGCTTAAAACATTGGAAGATCAGAATAGAAATTAAAATGATCCTGAATAAACTAACGCTTTAACCAAGATTTGTGACATGGTTACCAGATTTTCAAAACTAATTGGAATACCTTACTTCATATATCGATTACAGTATTATTAAATTAATTAGTTTACCTTTTTCCTGGAATGAAGGTAAGTTCCTCGACGCAATTTTCTAACAACTTTGTAGTCGAAAAACCTTGTGGAAGAGTAATCCACATGAAAAGACCACCTTTGGGCAGATTACAATACACGCCGTACCTTTTCAGTCGATCATTCACCAAGTCATGAACCCGATTGAAAAGCCTCTGCAAGTAGTCATAAGTAAATAAGAATAGTTGTTTAGGAAAATTTCAACTCACTAAATTTCAGATATATTTTTGTGAATGAATAAAAAACCTTGAAAAATTTAAACAGATTGTGAATTTTGGACAACACCTTTGGCCCTGTTTAGTTTAGATATACCAGTTTATGTTCCAGCAGGGACAGGGATATAGATATAGGTGCAATTGGGTTGTCATGTGGACAGCGGACCCTTTTTTATTATAAATTATTCAGACGAAAATACTACACAGAGCCGGGTCAACATAAACTATTCATATATCGCTATTGCTCATTCATTAAGACGCATCTGTTACAGATACATACTCTAATTTTGAAAGCATACCAATATATAAAGTAAGCCAGAAAAATCACTTCACCAGCAACCGCCTCCATAAGGGAGGCAATTAAATTTATTTCCAACTACTTCTGTCGAATGTAATAATAAGTGGTCCAAAAGTGCTGTTTCTCTAATAAATAAAAACACAGTATATAAAACTTGAGAAAATGTGATGCAATACCGTTAAACTACCGAATGAAGGCGTTTTGATTTTTGCCACAGTAGCCTTGCAGCTTTGGATCGGATCCCTAGGCACAAAAAGAGAGAAAAGAGCAAGTAATTAAGTACACGCTACTCCAATCAGAGAAATAAATAGAATTGCCTAATTACCCAATATTCTCGTCTGATTTTTTTGACATGTTCTTGAATAAGGCCTAACTTAAATGCCTGTGCAAGGATACCACTCGTATATGGATTCCATCCGCTACCACTGTCTGTGACAAAGAATGTCGCAAACGTTTGATACATTTTCTTTGACATTTCAAACCATCCAAGACGCAATCCAGGTGCGACTAACTTTGAGAAAGATGATGCTGATACGACGTTACCTGTTGATAAAGTTTATCTTGCAATTTTATTTTATCTACAATGAGAAAAATAATAAGTAAAAAAGGAAGGATCATAATTTTCGCTCAAGATCTGTGTTTTTACCGAGTTACCCACCTTTATAATCTGGATCAGATTTTTTGTCATGCCAGAAAAGTCTATTTGGTGGTTTTGCCTTCGTCGGATCATCTGAGTCGGGTGCAGAATATGTCATTACACTATAAACATCATCCGTTATCACCAATAAATCATATTTTCGGGCCAACTTGATCAATTTCGCGCACCTGTCTGTATATTATATATATAATATTAATGAGGTTATTTATGTTTAACACTAATGAGATTGTAGGTCAAACTATATTGTGATCCTAAAGCAATTTGAGCGGGCCAAAGGGGGAGTAAAGAGATTGTATAATTTGCTGCGATTATTCCGAATCTGCGATGCTTTTTGAATACACAGTTCATATTTAATTATGAAGGATAAAGGATCAATTATGTCCAACTGAGAAATTAGTTACTAAAGCTTGACGAAGCATTGCCCTGGGATGATCTTGAACGGTGGTGACGCATATTACCGACATCATTATTCTCCTTTAAATTTACCTTTAGTAAGACCCAAAATCACACAACATTACTAGCTTCTAACCTTTTCCAATCAAGGATACATACAATCCTTTCAAATGTGAAAATTTCTACAGAGGGCAATGTTTTCGTCACGTTTTGTAACTAGTTTCCTGCTTGACATAAATGATTCACGAAACACCAACCTTGAGACAGAATAGTTCCCGATGGATTTTGATGAACTGGTATAATGTATAAAGCAGCCTTGTACGGGTATCTTTCAGAAATTTCGGGGGCTTCGAGTTTTTTCAAATGTTCTTCGAGTTCCGTTAGTTTAATTCCATTTTCATCCAGACCCACGCCAACCGCATTCATCTGTACAAAGAAACCTAATGGGATATCGATTTCTACGGATAAGACAGACAAACCCTAACCTGGAATAAGTCAGACGATGGAAATATTCAGCAATTACGGATATTACGACAATATCTACATATGATAAATCAAGTTCTGCAATCACTACACAAAACACAACTTATAACATACCTTAAACGAGGAGTTGCCCGTATTGAAGTCTGTTAGTAAGTTCCAGTAAGTCGGATCTTCCACAAACAATGTTTCTCCTCGTTGAAAATAATGGTACAAAATATTGGCAAGTCCTTGACTAACACCGTTGTGCATGAAAATATCTTCACTGTGTATAAAACGAATTGTGTTATATTAATTCCAAAAATGCTATGGCCTGGAATCTAATATTTGATCAACGGTACATAATGGAGGCTGGTTCGAAATCTTCATCGAAAATTTCCGCCATGAACTTGGATGAAAATTATTTTGACATTTTTTCTGCATTTATTAAAGAGGTTTTGCGCTAGCAAAGAAAATTATTTTTTCAATAGATACATAAAGTACCCATAATGAGTAAATTCGAACGATTTATGATCTAGTATCAATACCATAAAAACAATAATATATGACACAATATCAAGTTCGGCTTGAGCAGATTTATTCCACTATGATCATTCTCATCAGTGTTCCTCTAAATAAAGGTGTAAGGAATGAAGGTTTAATAATAAAGTTTACAACTGTTACTCACATTTCAACAGGATTGCGATAGTTACTCGACAAAAATTTCACTAATTCTTCTTTCAAATCGTAATTTCCGCCACAACATCCATATTGCAGAATCTCCTCATTTCTTGGATTCGAATCGCTGAAATGTTCCACTGTAGCTTCCTAAAAATAAATTAATTTGCTACAAAAATTCATTTCTTGTAATATTTAACAATATTTGCGTATCAGATTCTAGGATTTTACTTAACCTTCATAATTTTAGCTACTTCACGCAGACAATGTGGACCAGGCGATCCAATCTGCAGGCAAACTCTGTCCCGGACGTCAATCCCCAAACCCTCATCAAATTCAGTGTAGAACTTTGGCATTTTTATATCGCATACAGTTCAGAAACTAGACCACAAGATGCTTAATATCTTATTGTAAAAAACAGAGATTTCTTCGGATACTTCTTATCCAACTGTTAAATTTCGTTTTTTTTTACTATTTCTTTTTTATTCGAAAAATCTTTCTGTATTCGGAAAGGCAAAAACCAGATTATTTCGAGCGACTCGTATCACTCCGGGGTATGGCTAATTCCTTTTTTCAGACAGAATTGTCCACAACCGTCGCAACGCGATAACTTCTGTATTATAGACAATTATGCAGATGATTATCAATGGTCTGGTAAGATCCCGTGATAAACAAAATTTTACGGCTATTCAGGGCAGCACAAGAATTGCTTTTTCGACAAATTACAGATTTTGATCGTTTCCATTCCTAGAAAATCGGCACGAGTTATGTACATTAGGTATGTACAAATTCGTCGTTTACAAATATGCGAATGTAGCAACTGAAAATACATCAAAATTTTTTAACAATTCATTCCCCCGCTTGCTTCTTTGACTAGAAAATTAATGAATTAAGTTGTTGCGTCGATACCGATGTGAAAGAACAGTTAAAACAATAAAACCGAAATGGAGCCTACTCAGCAGTTAGACAAATAAAACAAAGACGCTGTTCTGGAAATGTCTGTATGTATTCAAACGTTCATTTGAGTAGTTTCTGAACCAACAAATTAATGTTTATGTAGGGAAGCAAACATGTATAAATATATATATATACATGGCCGAACTTCGCCCGCATAATATATTTAAACTCACAAAACGAGGTAGTTTTCGGTCAAATTGGTTGGAGTATTCATTTGACGCCCATTTAATCACACACTTCTAAATTAAATTCTGAAAGGATGCATTGATAATGATTTCGTAGCATTAGATGATTTTTGAAATAGTAACAAAATGTGCTCATTGAGCGGCAGATTTGATTCTGCTTTATATGTGATAAGAGGAAAACATCAAACACTTACAGAAGTAGAAGGTTATCCAAATTTGAGAATTCTAACGAAAATTATGAGGAACGGCGTAGTAACGAATGACATAGCCAGGCTAAACGTCATTGGCAGTTTTGTTAAAATCTGCTTTTAATATCCTCTGTATCTGTAATACCAACAATAGTATTGATAAACTGCATGAGGAAGGGTAACTGTCCTACTACTACTAACATAGAGAGCAGTACAAGTACTACAGTATTGTTTCCATTGCGTCCTATAGCGGGGATAAAATCGAGCGAGGGTAATTAATAGTAAACCGACGTTGCTTGTCACTCTTTTACCATTCACTTCTCCTGTCCTCCGTATACCTGAACTATTTGTCATGTCTAATTTCAAATATACAATAATTATTACCCACAATTTAGAGGCCAGGTGATTTATATGTCATTGTCACGTTACCGCTATGACATGAAGCAGTAAAACTTGTTTTTATCCCGCCGCACTAAACTTGGCGGATATGAAAAATACGTTTGCATACATTATCTTATTTTGAAAACCTGATTCTACTTCTAAGAACGTTTGTGTAAGATTCGAATTACAATATTTTGTGAGCCTACGTTCTGAATATCAAAATTCGATTGATGATGTCCTGCAATAAACATGTGTCACAAAATACTCAAACACTGTCACCATCATCAATTCTAACAAGCGAGACATTCCGTTTCTTTAATCGTATCCCAGATTTTCTAGAACAATCAAATAAAAAATGGACGAAAAACTGAAAATTTTGAGATCTGATTCAGAAATCTTATAGTTCAATAACGTCTAGAACTCCGATTGACAGTCTACCAGTTGGGTAAGCGACAAAGTTATATAGATTATAGACATAGAGGACTTGCACGGGTCACGTGACCTTGTTACTGGACGGCAATAAAACAAAAACGTCCATTTGGCTCCTGTCAGTTGCAAGTCGCATTATACGTTTCCGTTTTGTTTGGCTGTTGAAAATGGACTTATTTCGTATTGTTCCGCTGGCTGTACGTATAGTATAGACAACGAAATGGATCTTCAGCTATATTCCACTGTTTTCAAAAGATCCGGAACGTCGCGCAATGTGGATATCATCTATTGGCAGGACTGCTTGGTGTCAAGTCCAGAAGCCATCTTACTTGTGTTTCACTGTTTGCGGACAGCACTTCGTTGATGGTGAGTCATGATGTGCCGTTATCAATTTTTTTTAAATATTCATAAGCTCCCTCATTTCAATGCAGATAACAGATAACAAACAGATAACAAACTACTGTTATTGGGAGGCTTAGGCGTAGGCCTACTTGCAGGCTTGACTCGTGTAAGGGCCTACTTGCAGACTTGACTCGTGTAAGGTATTAATCAATAATTGCCATAAGGTATTGTTTCCCTAGTTAGCAGGTAATCTATTAGTAAGTGTGAAAATTTGAATAGATAACTAAAGTTTAACGCCAGTGCAAAAAATAACCAGAATTCAATTGAATTCTCTATCTGAGAATACGCTCGCCACCACATCTCTGATCCCCCTGGGAGTTTCACAGGTTCCAATCCCATGCGGGGATAGTTATGTGCGAGGGATTGCAGCTCTCCTCCCACTAAGGGTGGTTCACACGACCGCTGGTCGATTACGACATCCCCACCATCAAGTCCATGCTTCTAAAACAAATAACTGGCTAACTAATCCCGACATAGAATGGTGATCGTACGATGTTGCACTTGCAATCTGTCCCCAACCACAGATAAATTCTATCCTAAAAACTAACCACATTGTAGCATAGTTGCGTTTTAAATTGAAAGAAATCTTCATTAATGGTCAGGTGGTGTTGTCTGATTGTTTTGTTAGTTAGCAGGTAATTTATTACTGATCTGATACACAAACTTGGCACTGTCAAATGATGATTAGTGTTTAATTTATTTTCAGGAAAAAGGGAAGATAACCCATTATCAGCTGCTTACATGTCCCATCGATATTTGAATTTTCGCCATCCCCAGAGAAGAAGAGAATAGTTAAAAAAGGAGGATTTTGAAGAAAGGCAAAAGGCAGGACCATTTCAACAAATTCTGTTAACTTGTATGCGTTGCAATATTAATTCGCAGTTGTTAGCATAAACATTTAATGTGTCTTTCGACTAGACCTACCACACTTTAAAAAAAAGCCGCCTACACCCCTTTTCACTAGAACCATAATACTGTAAAATATTTGATAGAAATTACCCCCGAGGCATCATATCTTCCATTTGAAAGGGCTGTGGAGGCAGATACATTTTTTACTCTAAATTATGGAATGTTACTTCCAGGTTATCTTATCCTTGCTTATAGATATCTTGAGGTTAGTGACTCCAACTGACCCATGCATGCCACACTGAAAATTCTCTTGTGTACCCATAAAATAAGGCTGTTGGAGCCTTCAGACCTTGAAAACAGTCGAATCTGAGCACGATGGATTCATGTGAAACACGTAATATGCATTTAGAGGCAAAAATATCCCATCCTGAGCAGCACCGATCCACAACCTCCTGCCTATGGAATCAAAACATTAGACAAATTGGTGTACTGTGCGCATTCACAAATTTTTGCGAATCAAGTGTGCCTTTTGACTAAAGAAAATTTAGCATTGAAATGGTCAATCTCAATATCAACCTAGTATCTGCAGATAAAACCAATTGTTTTTTAAAAATACATTTTTGATGTGCTTTATTTTTCAAATATAATTTATAATTACTGTAAAGTGTGTGATACATTTGGTACCATGAATACTATTTGCAAATTAGCTTGGGTTACACCCCTCTCAAATAAAAGTTTAGACTCTTAAGTCGTATCTCATAATATTCTTTAAACAAAAGGTTGCGGCTAGCCGGCTACCCATCAGAATTTCCTTTCAGATCACAAAGTCGCAATATTACGCCTCGCTTAAGTTTCATTGGCAACTGTATCTGGTTGTAGTATCGGTGTCCAACGTTAGACTGAAACCTTCACGACCAGACCCACCGAAACAATTTTTTTTCTTGATAGGGTCGTCTTGAAGTTGATTTCGTTAAAGCACAATGGACACTTTATCTCCATCCACAGTAATGACAAGTTACTTTGTCATTACGATAAGCATCAATAAATGGATACTGAGGATGTATTATCAAGTCACGCAAGCTGAGGTCTTGTGCCACTGTGGTCTTGTTGCAACTTATACTTTGCCATCCATCTATTCCATGGTCGCACCCATATCTGTAAGATAATGGATACAGATAAGAGTTTTCATAAAATCTAACGATCAAGGAGTGTGAAATTTATGTCCATATCCCACCACAGCCACTAGTCGTAAATGAATTTGATTCCGGGTAGCATATCTTTTTTACCAATGACAATAAAAAGACATTTTGAATCAGTTGTACAAGCACCATTAGGATAGATTTATCTGGGGGGAGCCAGTTATTTGTTTTCAGAAGCATGGACTTGGATGGTGGGGAATGGTCGTAACCGATCAGCGGCCATGTGAACCACCCTCGATGGGAGTGGAGCTGCAATCCTCTAGCACATAACTATCCCCGCATGGGATTGAAACCTGTGAAACTACCAGGGTGATCAGAGATGCGGGGGCGAGCGTATTCCTAGATGGCGAATTCAATTGAATTCTGGTTATTTTTTGCATGACCCTGGTGTTAAACTTAGTTATATCTATTCAACCTTTCACACTTAGTAAAAGATTACCTGCTAATTAGGGAAACAAGACCTTACAGCAATTGATTATTAATTCCTTACTGTCTTACACAAGTCAAGTCTGCAACTGCAAGTAGGCCCACGCCTACACTGAAAAAAAAATCGTAAGAATACTGTCCAATATCAGAGAAACTGGCGAATGAGTTGACGTTATACCTGCCCGATTACAAAAATGGAATCATTTTGTCCGAATCCGCTAAGTTATGGAGTATAACAGTCCAACTCGATAAAGGAGAATGAAAATCCACACAGCGCCCTCCGCTGTTGCGACGGAGCAATATGTTCCGCGGAGCGGAATACGTCGATCCATTCATTTTCGCCGGATTTTTTTTCGCCAAAATCGCTGCAAATCAGATCTTAAAACCATCAGTTGTTACGTCACTATATAGCCTGAAATTTGAAAATCGAAACTGGCGCTGTTTGCTATTGACCGTCTTGATCTGTGTAGGTCAGTGGTTCTTAAAGTATGGGTCGCGACCCAAACATGGGTCGCGGAAGGTTTAAAAATGGGTCGCGACAAGGTCGTCAATGCAAGGGCAATCTAAGAGGAGAAGGAACGAATTTTCAGCTTCCCAATGTTTCAATTTAGCTTCTAAACTCTAGTATTTAAAAATAATGAAATAAAAAATTTCATTCACGGAAAGAACTGTCTTGAGCTCATTGTTACATCACAATTCTGATATGCCAGTCACGTGTATTATTTTTATGGGATCGATAACCATGCACGTCGCTTGTCGTTGTGTTAACCGCATGGAATGTCGTCTTAGTGGATTAAAATAACCAAAAATGGGTGTCTTTTTGGTAATGAAAATTGTAATAGACGACGCAATGAAAAAGCTCGCTTCTCGACATTAGATTATTCAATATCTAGAGAAAATGTGACTTCATCTCGAGGCACCATTTACCGCGAACGAAGCAGTGCGTGCACATGTGACGAGTAAAAAGTTGTATATTGCGAGAGATACCGAAGGCCAGCTAGGATGTCGTGTTTGCGACGGACAGCGGACGCCTTTTCTGCTACAATTCGCGACAAGGCACTTGTGCGAGCGAGGATATTTGGCACTGACGGTTATCAAAACTAAGCTCGCAATCGCTTCGATACCCGTGACAACTTGCGTATTGCGTTAAGTAAAATAGAGCTGTGTATTGAAGATATAATGAAAAAGGAAATTTCAGTTTCATCAATCTCACTGAGTCAATGGACTGTTTCTAATAAATAGTTGTCTGTATTTGAGTCAAACTGTACTAACATTAAAAACACATTTTGCGTTTTTTAGGATTGGGTCGCGAGTATTCATAAAACTCAGATTTGGGTCGCGCTTGAAAAAGTTTAAGAACCACTGGTGTAGGTCTTCATGTCAAATTTATCGGGCATCGGCAAGAGAAATCGACAATATAGCGTTAGAGATGAGTTGTATAGGGGATTCGCAATGTTTTTCACACTGATAATGGGATATATTCGCAACCGTGAAGATATTGAGGTAAGTTACCATGATTTTGTTTGGTCTACAAAATTCTGATATTTCTGTGTTGATAATTAATAATATCACAATATTTTTTTTTTTTCATAATAACATAATCTCACATGGAGCCGATTTCAATAATGTAATGTATTTTTTTATTCTAATGATTTTTCCAGGTACCGGTATACGGTTTTGTCACTTATTATAGCCTGAAATTAAGTCTTTGCCTCAGTAGTGTTTTGTATTGTTCTGCCACCTTCAGGTCACTAGACCGCATACGTGAAACAAACTGCATACGGACGTTGTTCGCTTTATGAATGATAATCTATATATGCATTTCTCTCTCATGGGATAATTAGCGAAAAAAACTTGTCAAGTTATGGGTTTCTTTATGTTCTAAAATGTGTTAGCGAACATGACGAATTTGCGTAATACCAGATGCGTCCTCCACCCGGCGTAATAGCAGCTGACTTACTACAGAAAATGCCTTCTGTTCATTTTAGCTTTTCGTGAAAAAAATGCCAAATTATGTCTCAAGGGAAACTGCAAGTCTAAAGATATGGATTTGTGAGATTAGCGCCCATGTTACAAAATAGAACATTTCGGTCTTGCCCAGCGCTTCTATCTAAAACACATCCATAGTTAAGTATTTTTTATTTCTGTTTAAGCTAGGCGATACGAATAATGCTACAAACATCGCCGGATGAGAACAGAACAGGCCTACGTCACAATTTCGAGTGTTGAGAAAAACGCAAAAAAAAAAAATTTTGAATTCCGTTATTTTTGAATTTCTAGATATTCACACTTAGTAAGACCTGAGCTCTGGTTATTTCAATGTGGATGAGGAAATCTTTGTAATCGATTTATGTTGGCACTTCCTTTCTGTTTTTCACCCCCCAAAAAGAACTTTAGCCCATTCTGTTTTCAACAACTTTCGAATTTTTTTGTATGGGATGCAAGGTAAAACAAGGTGACTTGAGCCTAAGTTGCACTGAACAAATTCTTAGAGATGAAAATTTCGAAATTTCTCAAAAATGTGACTTAGGCCGCTTCTGTTCTCATCCGGCTATATGGTAACACATAGCATGAGCTACGGTTTTTTGAAGATGGCAACATATTTTGGGTTGTTGGGTTCTGAACCCAGTCCAAGCAGGTGAAATTCTAACAATTTGTATAATTTACCTGCTAGGACCGGGTATGCAGGATAGCTCAAATTCAACACAAAATATGTTGCCATCAGTGTGAGCAACCCTTTGATAACATCTTCGCTGTCGACTTGTACAAAAGTTTTATTGTCTACTACCACAGCAGGCATGCCGGCAGCTTCTCGAGTTCCGGGAAACGCGAGGTAAGGCTGACGTTGGGTTGCCTTAATGCCATCTTCGCCAAATTTGGCCACTGCTTGGAGAGCGGGGCCACTATATAAATGTTCCATCAGAGTAAAGATGTTTTCGGCCGCATTTTGGTGACCTATTTTAGCTTCCGCAGCTGCTTCAAAAACTCTGAATCTTTTTTTGGTAATGGTCACATATTCGTCAATATTTATGACCTTTTTCTTTACCAAGTAGGCCATATCTTCGATAAGCTGTAAAAATATGAAAACCGTTATTAATATCCAAATACTTATAGACGTATGACACACCTAATAAACTGAAATTTACTATATCAGACGTACAGAAATCTTCTTAAAATTTGACATCGTATTTAAACAGAATTATTGAAAAATAGACTTTAATAGCCCTCTGATTTGTGACAAATGATTTTCATTCATTGTGGATATTGGATAAGTGGACAAAAATATGCACTCACCACATAATAGTTTTGGTATTCTGGAAAAAGACTTTCTGTGCGCTCTGATCTTTTCCTTCCATCAAAGGCAGAGATGGCTCCGATTCTCTCCATGATTCTATTTGTTTTCGGTGTCGACTTTTCTCTCTTTTGTCGACTCTCTGATAAATGTTTTAAATTTTGTAAAGTTGCCACTTGGCTGTTAGCCCTCTTTCTGAAATGGTATGCCAATTCGAGGAATCCACCTTGGTGGATACCATCGTCTATTTTCAGGATCGGATATTCTAGCACCAAGTTTTGTGCTATGCCAAGTCGTTCCTGTCTGTTTGGCTTTCTGTCCATTAATTGATAGCATATGGAATATATATGTCTTGTTACGGCTAGATACAAGGCTTTGCTCAGGGGCGATTGTGCGCTATTGAGGCAGTTTTTAAAATCGGTGCATATAGGAAAGGGGGTAGGAATTGGACTTGGGTAATGGATAGGAGAAGAGCTTGAAATTTCGATATTATCAGGTTTTGCGGGTGTAGAGGTGCTTTGGTGAAATTGCTCGTCAATTGCTGGGATGGGTGTGGGTGGTGTGAAATTGCTGCCTTCCGAAGAGTTCTGTTCTGGATTATCTGAGCAAAGGTCTAGAACCGGCAGCGTGTCATCCGATGGCTTCTTTGAATCCATCCAGGTGGCTTCTTTGAAATGGCGTATGATTTGAAGGGAGTCACAGCCAAAAGTTAACTTGAGAAAATTTTAAGGATTCGTCAGAGATATGGAAAAGTCGACACCGAGCACAAATAGAATCGCGGAGCGCAAAAAGTCTTTCCGGAGTACCAAAACTAATATATGTGGTAAGCGGTGGCGTATCTAGGGTGTGGCCGCCATGGCTCGTGCCATTGGCGCCATTTGAACAGGATCGTCAAAACGGCAAAAACTATTAGCCATGATAAGTTTTAATAAACTAACTTTAAATTGAGAATAACAGAAACTCGTATTTTTCCTCAAATAATAACGTACAATTATCTCAATTCGATAATAGTCATTATAAATTGTCCAACAACTGTGTAGGGGGCGCCTTTTAGACTTTGCCATTGGCGCGATTTTACGTAGATACGCCTCTGGTGATAAGTGCATATTACACTTCCAAAGCGAAATTACGGTCAGCAAAATATATTGGAATCTGCTATCCACAATGACTTGTTACATGCCGGGAGACTCGATATTTTTAATAGTTCTGTTTAATACGATGTCAGTTTCCAAACATAATTAAACCAGTGTGGATTACCTATTTTGTGATGCGATTAAGCATATCAAATAATGCCTCTATTATTTCCAGGGCGATGAAAAGGGAGTCTGAAATATTATATACATCTCACATTACAAAATCAAAGTAGCCTACCTTGGGTGGTTGGCATAGGCACTCTTGCAACATTCGTCTGTCTCTAAACGGCAAGTCGCTAAAAAGACCGTACACTTCCTGGAGGTTTAGAGGTAAGTCCTCGATTTCAATTCTGGCATCTGAAAATGATGTTCATCTTATTACTTCTGAATGCCTCGTTTAAAACTGACATAGGCGCGACTCTCCATAATTTTAATATTATACATTGCTTAAAATTAAATATGAATAACAATAATCCACCTTTAAATGTTACTATTCTTTTCGAGAGTTTTTATTAATCACTTTCGTTGTTCTGTCAAAAAATGTTACTTATTTTAACCTTAATGAAGTTATTTAAAAGTATTGTGGGGAGATGGTTATAAATAGAAATTACGAGAAATATTTTTGCGCATTATAAATATCGTTTTAACTTTAATTCGGAAGCATGGTAATAAAATAGAACTTCCTATTGAAACTTCGCTAGCATAAGTGGTCCTTGCAATGTACTAAAAAAGGCTTGTATACGCGGAAGTTTTCGTTTTAATGTTTGATTAAGGTTACTATTGAAATAATTTATATACTATTTTGTTGTAATTGACTTCATGATGAATGTGGCTAAAAGTGAAGACAACATTTGTTTTGCTCAGCGATCTGAATCAACAACATCAGTTTTTGAAAAAACTTTCGGGGACAGTTGGTGTAGTACTCCACAATTTTCCTCATTAGTTGAAGGCCTGAAGAAGGACATTATGCAGATGCTGAAAAATGAAATCAAAGCATTGGTAGAAATCAACTGTAGAAAATTGATGGATGTTGAACAAGTCACAAAGTCTCAGGATTCACAGACCAAAGTCATCCTAACAGATATCATTTCCTCACAAGAATATGTAATGAATGAATTCAAAGAACAGGAATGTAAGATAAATAAACTGCAAAAGCTAATGGATGACTGCCAGTCTGATATAAATCTTCTGAAGCAAAATATATCTGAATTTCAAAAGAATGAACAACAATACAGACAAACAATAGATGAGATGGATCAGTCAAACAGGAGAAATCTCCTTGAAATACATGGCTATCCTGTTATGCAGAATGAAAACACTATGGTGATTGTGAAGGATGTCGCTAAAATGGCTGGTGTAGAAATAAAGCCATCATCCATTGAAAATTCTTATAGATTGAAAATTTCTGACAAGTCCATTTATCCCCCAATTATCATGGTCAAGTTTTTTGATGTGAATCTTCGTGACAAAATTTTCAGCGGCCGAAAAAATATACAGAAGCAATTTAAGAATAATGCAGGAGATGCTTGGTACTTATCTATTCGAGAAAATCTAACAAACAAAGGAGAGCTCTATTCAAAGAAGCAAAAAGCCTGGTAAAATCCAATGGCTACAAGTTTATATGGACAAATAATGGTGATATATTGGTACGCAAAACTCCTAAGGCAAGAGTTCTTAAAGTGATGAATCAGAAAAGTCTTCTAAAGATTTGTTAAAATTGCATATGCATTGTATATGTTTCAACAGAAAAGCAAAAGTTATCAAGTTCAGATTTTCTTTTTGGGAAATATACACCATTACCTTGCTGCTTTTATATTCTTGTTCACTTTGGTGGATAAATGGACATGTCTTGAAAGGCTTTCAACTGTGTTCTAACTAAGGATTCACTATCATCATATTTATCTGATGAACCAAATAATGTGTATCCGAATAGAAATGTATCTGAATATATGACAGTTGAAGATGTTAACAGTATCTTAACATCAAAGCGGTTTTTCTTAATACATATGAATGTCAGATCTTTGCAGAAGAATGTTGACTCACTTCAGAGTTTGTTATGTCAATTCAATCATCTTCCAACTGCAATTGCTATAACTGAGACAAAGCTCACCGACCATTCTACTTTGAACATTCAGCTTCCACACTACAATTTTGTGAATATTAATTCCAGGACCAATGCTGGTGGTGTGGGATTCTATATCCTTGAAAATAAGAAATATAATATTTTGAACTTCCCAGGTCAAGAAAGCTTGGATTATGAAAGTATTTGGCTGGAATTGGAACAAAAACAATCAAACAAATCTGTAATACTAGGGTCAGTGTACAGGCATCCTAGACAAGATAACGTGAAGTTCTTGGAATTCATGGATGAAATGTTGTGTTCGCTAAATCGAAAAAACTGTCATTATTATATTTTGGGAGATATGAATATCAATTTGCTGCAGTCAAATAGCAAGAATATTCTTGATTATGTGAACATGCTTCAATCAAATTTCTCGTTTCAATTAATTTGCCAACCAACTAGAGTGACAGACACTTCATCGACCCTAATTGATCATATTTACACAAATTGTCTTAATGCCAATCTTGAATCAGGAATATTATTGAGCGATATTTCCGACCATTTCCCTGTATTTTGTCTGAGCAAAATGAACACTCTTGATAAAAATTCAAAAAGACCTAGAAAACATTGTATGAAAAATTTTAATTTGGATAACTTCAGAAGTGAAGTCTTCGACAACTTTTCCATACTGCCAGATGAAAATTCAACTCCATCACAGCTTGAACAACTTAGTGCAGAATTTATAGATACGTTCAAACGCTTAATTGACAAACATGCACCAATTCGCAAGTTGAGTCGTAAGCAGATGACACTGCTGTCAAAACCATGGCTCAGTCATAATCTACTCAAATCAATCAATCACAGGAATTCTTTGTACAAGTCTCACTTCATCTCTGGTTCATTGGACCAAAAAGCTCACTATAAGAAATATGCCAAAACTGTTCAGCGTTCTATTGAAGAAGCAAAGCGAGTATATTATACAAACAAATTTAAAGAAAGCAAATCTAATTCAAAGGAAACTTGGAAGACAATAAAGTCCTTAATCTCGCCCAAAAGGAATTTATCTTTCCCTGAAGAAATTCTAAATGGAAATGGTTCCATTGTTAAAAATCCATTGGAAATAACCAATTGTTTCAACAACTATTTTGTGTCTATTGGAAATTCTCTTTCGTCCAAGCTTCCGAATTCTGATGTTTTCAAACACTATGTGCAAAGGCAGGTCAAAAGTACCGTTTATCTGGAACCAGTGAGTGAAAATGAACTATTAGCTGAACTAACCAAAATTAATATAAACAAGGCTATTGGGCCTGATAATATTCCACCAAAATTCATTAAGTTTACAGCTGATATTATATCTCCCTACTTAGCAAGTCTGTTTTCTTTGTGTATAAAAAATGGTATTTTTCCATAAATTTTTAAAATTGCCAGAGTAACACCACTCCACAAAGCTGGAGATCGTAAAGTTTTGTCAAATTATCGTCCCATTTCTATACTCTCCTCTATTTCCAAAATATTTGAACGTTTGATTTACACACGCTTAAAACTATTTTTTGACAAGCACAATGTTATAAGTGACTATCAATTTGGTTTCCGTGAGGGCTGTAGTACCACCCATGCCGTGCTTGATATCATGACATCTGCTATGGATGACTTAGAGAACAATAAAATTAATTGTAATGTTTTTCTTGACTTATCGAAAGCTTTCGATACTGTAAATCATTCTATTTTGCTAACCAAACTGTCCATGTATGGTATTCGTGGTGTTGCTGGTAAATTACTGACTAGCTACCTGTGGCAGCGAAGTCAATATGTCAAATTAGATTCCACAACTTCACAATATCTCCCAATATCTTGCGGAGTTCCACAGGGCTCAATTTTGGGGCCTTTACTTTTTATAATCTATGTTAATGATTTAAATAATGCTACCAATAGTGACACCAGAATGTTTGCTGATGACACATGTATTGCTAAAAGCCACCACTGCCCTCATATTCTTCAAATTCTCATAAATAATGAAATAAGCAAAGTGGATGCCTGGATGAGAGCAAATAAATTGACTGTAAATTATTCTAAATCGACCTATATGCTTTCTCACCAAAAAAATATAAGTAAAGCTTTCCATGTATCTTTTGGTGATAAAATGTTAATTGAAGTGTCATGCATGAAATATCTTGGGATAATTATTGACAACAAATTTAAATGGCATGCTCATACTGAATATCTATATAGCAAGTTATCAAGAGTGACTGGGATTATGTTCAAACTTAGACACTATTTGACATTGCATGCTTTAAAAATCATTTACTATTCATTATTTCATTCTTGTATTCTGTATGGTATCGTAACTTGGGGTTGTTGTGACAAAACCAGTCTTAACAAATTACAGCTAATCCAAAATAAAGCAATACGAGCCATCTGCGGGGTGCCACGCTGGGCAAATTTGAGTAGTTATTACAAAATCCTTGGTATTCTTAAAATAAAAGATCTATATTTTATGAAATGGGAAGGCTCATGTATCAAGCGGTAAATAGCACTGCCCCTCGCGTAATACAACAATATTTTGTTACAACAAAAAATGCACATACATATGGTACTCGTTCATCTCAAAAGGGAGGATTATTTGTACCACGATTTTCATCCTCGCGGGCCCAAAATTCCATAAAGTACCAGGGTGTGAGAATTTGGAACGATATTAACGAAAACCTAAAGGAAATTCCCAGTTTTAATGTTTTTTCCAAGAAGTATTTCCAGTCTTTTCTGAATAAGTACTGATTCATAACTTTTCTACTTGTACGTTTTTATTTTGTGTGATATAAAACTAAACGCTTTTTCTTGCCGCTTCTATTTTAAATTCGTCTCAATATGTGTCACATTACTCTTGTTGCTCAATTGTTAGTTACAACAAGTTAAAATGTTTTATAATTGGTATAATATAAAATGTAATCTGTCAACCTTTTTTATGCCAGGAGAGTTGTTTCGATTTAGTGACCGTATGGTCCTTCCAACCTCCTATCAATTCCGTTGTTAGTCGATTTATTCTTCTTTTACCTATCGTATGTTGTTGTTTGTGTTTGATTTATTGGCTAATGACTGGATGATGAATAAACTTCTATCTATCTATCTATAATTTATTTTATCGGGCTTCGAAGTTTAAATCGCTTGCAATGCGGAGTTGGAACAAATTTTTTTGTTTTAAGTACCGTAAGTTTTAATAATAAATTTTTTTGACCGCGCAAAACCCTGCGAGCGCAAGAATTCATTATAACCT